TCCTTTTTGAGCCAACGATATAAATGTTTTCAGAAGATATACAATAAAAAATGTTACCAATTTATCACACGCGACTTCATCTTACATGTATGATCACATGATATCTGAGGGACTAAACGTGTCACCCGTTAATAGCAGATAAAATACCTACTTTATTTCATATTCAAAGTGTTAATTCGCAGAAGAGCCAACGTGCGTTTGATGCGCCCTTTAAAGCGCTCTCGCGTGAGGACCACTCATTTTCCAATTTATCCTCCGAGATCTCCGATGCGCGCCTCTCGCACGCACTTTTCATCCGTAATGCAACCGCGATATATAGATATAATGTTCCGTTAAACAGTTTGTTTGATGTGGCTCGGCCCGCAGCCGGCTTCTCCACAGTCTGTACTCCACGTCGCTAGAAAATGTTAAAAAAACTTCACCCGCTCGAAACTCGAGATAGTGCCTTTACTTACTGGAACCAAGCCGCGAGAAAGCGCAGACGCTTTTAGCGCGCCTACTCGTTCCGATACGAATAGACCGCGCGCGGAAAGTTTATGAAAATATGAATGCCCGGAGTTTATTTTTATTAGGGTGCCCCCTTTTTATGCGGAGGACGCGGATGCCGAGATCACCCTCTCATGTCTTCCTCGCCAGCGAAAGGGCGCGCTTTTCCATCAGGAAATATTCCGCCTTTTGATGTTCGAAGCCACTTTGCCCCAACGAATGACATTACGGGAATAAGGGTAATGCGCCGCATTCCAACAGGCATTTCAACATCCTCGTTCACCACCTTCGACCCCATATTCCAGAGTACCTCGTGTACTCTTCGTGCGGCTGGTGCACCCCGCTATCGAAAACCCGTACATGACTTTCGACATTCGCGAGCAAACGCGTCCTCACATCGTGACACTCCAAATTTTACGTTTTCCCCACCGACTCGCGTAGCCGATTAAATAACAAGTGCACGATATGCCTTGTGACATTTTTCAAAAGCACGTTTTGACTCCACATCTGCTCTTATATCTCGCGATGTCGAAATGCTGTCATGGTGCTTTCTCCCTGCGCACGCTACAGATTATTGAATTGTCTATAATTTTAAATGTGTACAAATTTACATATATATACTTTTTTAAATTATTTTTACATACTTTTGTTAAATAACTTTTATAAAATATTGTTATTTAATTTTTTAAATCAGTCTTTCTTTTATAAAAATAATTTTGATTGCATATTACACATCATAATGAGAAATATTGCATATTGTAATTGTACATAAAAAATAATATATTTACAATAAAAAAATTATATTTTTCAAAGATATTCTCAATTTCAAAATATTACGTTTGTCATTTCACTGCAAAAATTTTTTTATGAAATAAATAATTTTTCGAACAATACAAGCGACATATCTTCTCGAATTTATTGAATTTATTGCTTTCGTCATGAGAAGAGTTGATCGTACGGCACAGCTTTCTCCATTAAAACCGTTATGCTGCTGTATTTCATAAAGATTTTAATGAAAGCACGTAATAAACGCCTATGAAATGGTCCAGCGGCGCACGGCACCAGCGAGATTTATTTTATGGCTCTACTTTTCGACGAGGAAAAGCCAAATTCATTACGACGAACACTTGAAACCGGCACATGGCCGTGGTCAATCGCCAGAATTATTAGTAAAATTTTGTGTAATGCACGGGATCGAAAACCGACTTAATCACGATCCATTAATCCGCTATATGTGCACGCGATAATTGATGCATTACATTGCTGATCATAAAAATAATAATGCTATATATTGTAATATAGCACTGTTAATAGCACTGTTAATCTACCTGATGTCACTTTAAAAAATAGTATTGTGAATTAAATTACAATAATCCCTTTATTTATTGAGTTTGCGTCATACGATATTGTTCCGAATTATTAAAACAGTGTTGTTTGATAATTTTACCATAAAATTTTAATAAAGCTCTATATATATATAATAATTACCAGTTTAAAATTTCGTATAAATAAGTACTGACGAGTTGCAATATAACATGAATCTTAATACTAATCAAAACTAACTGTGGTTTAATCAAACTTTGGATAAACTCATATGTGGAACTCTCTATGACATTATGTGTAGATAATTCTGTTTAAAGTTACACTGCTAGCACGACGAAGAGTTGTACAAGTTAGAATCATCTTTGTAGCGGAAAGGAAAGATAAGAGATAAAATATAAAACGATTAGAATATTGTTACAAAAGAATACTATTTTTATATAATAAAAAAAAGTCTAAGTGTGATAAAAGTACACAAAGGGTGTGCATATACAGTTACATAAAGTTACATTACTCATATTTTTTTTATATTCTTGTCGATTCAACTTTATTCGCTATATAAGTAAACGTCAATTGTGCCAATAACAACGATAAATTTGCGATTAATTGTTCAAACTGCGATATGTCGATAATTTATATCTACGAAATTTTGCGGTCTATTTTCTCTCAATAAAATAATTATGTTCAGTGAATTAATGGAAATTGTAACGACATACTGTGTCAAAATTCGTAAAAGAACTAATAGTACATATGGTAACCAAACGCTTAAAGTATCATAAATTATTATTCATATTTTCACATAATTTTAAAATATTACACTATTTTAAATGTAGTTATTCAATATAATTTTCTAATTTCGCGATGTTTGCTAATTTCATCATACATTAATTTTCTGTTTTGCATACATTAGCGATGGAAGCCAGACAACTAATCGCACTTGGCGTTTTTTACTATTCTTCACTTCGTGGAACAGCATTTAAAACGAGCATTTTCTTCAATGTCACCTCAGCAAGTGTCCGGTAAGACCGATGCAATGAGCTCATCAGTTTCTCTAGACGCACAAGCTGTGCCATGGCTGTTACACAGAGCAGTCGAAATGAAAGGAATTCGTGACGTCTACAAAAAGACATTCAACCTCTCTTAATGGCGTTCACGGAAAAGGTGCTCTTAGGCGAGCGATGAATCGGTCCGTAAAGCGTCAAAGAAAATTTCACAACACATGTCCGTGATATTCGCTTTTCATAAATATACATGAAAGCAACCTGTTTGTTATCGTACATCGATTCACAATAAAAACGTTCAAAATATTTAAAAACACTTTACCCACCCAGATATGTGCATGTTTTAAAGACACTTGAACGACGTCTGAAAGATACTATTTTTAAAAAGATGTCTTTTAAATATTTTTAAGATAAGTGTACAGATTGGGTTACTACCTTAATTACCAGATGTAGCCGGAGCTGTTCACCTTCGAAAAACGATTATCGATTCAATGACAAGTCAAGGTAATCAGCTAATTAATAGCTGAGCTATATACGGAGTGTTTTTAATGCCCGTGTCAACGTTCATGTGAGGGTAAAGTGCGGTAAACTGAATAAAAAAGTTCTTTATCATTTTGCAATTTTTGCAATAATAATTGAGGTATTAATTCGCGACGAATGATTGCACGCGGCTAAACTATGGGCTGTACGATCTAGGTGAGTCAGCGGCGTGTCGCACGGCAACGAGAAACAATTGCGCATGGCGAGAGGAGTAACACGCGAGCAGCGAGCGGGCGGAAACAGCACGTGAGGCTGGATCTCCATACCGCTGTTATTTTTTGTCACTGTGTGACGCCGCTGACCCATCTAGATCGCACGATCTAGTCGCACGCAACGCGCTATCATTCATCGATCCTTTTTAATTAATATCTCCGTTATTATTGCGAAAATTGCAAAACGGTAAAGGACTTTTCTATTCTGTTTACCGCACTCTACCCGCACACAAGCGTTGGCACGAACATTATAAAATACTTTGTATAAATGCTAAGCAGCATTTTAATTTAAACAAATGTTATTACGGATTATACCACATTTGTCGCGCACGTGACTCTTATCGAATTACATACACTTTCACAAATTCCACACAGCTAACCTAAAATATTCATGTACATGAGACCATTAGGTATGTATCATTTATTGTTCTGTTTCTATTTCTATTAGACGTATCATATTGTGCAATATGTAGAATGTCGTTACACATGTGACATACATACGGAGATGAAACAGCCGCTAATTACATATTGCGTGAGCACATGTGTTACGAAATAATGAGAATGTAAAATAAAAATTACCTGCTTCTTTACGAATTATTAACATATAATAAAAATAAACATGTGTGAAAAGTAAAAGATAAGTATTTATATAAAATTTTACGCTCTCAAAAATTACTTGTAAATATATATTGGATATATTTTGATTATATATTTGCTTCACGATATTATTAACAATGGAGTAAAAACTTATGTGTCTTAAAAAAGCTACACGGTCCTGTTTGCGAATCTCATTGCTTACGGGGATGCTAAACTGCCTGTCGAACGCGAAAATGCGTTTCATTTAGATGAAATAAAAACAAAATTGATATTATTGTCGTAAGGTTCGTGTATATTTCCTTGATTAGTAATTCACTGCACTGACGTGTGGTTTATATTTGTTGCCGTCGAGTAGTTTGTAAATAAGTTTGTGACTCGCACGTTTGCAATTTCTTCCTTGATCGCAATTCTTTCCTCGATCGCAATTCTGTCGTAAGGCTGTAATGTAATATACGAGACAAAATAGGTATATATAAGGTATCAAATAAATATATACTAAATATGATAAGATAATATTTAAAAATATAATATTAGACATTTAATTAAAGAAAAATTTAATTAAAAAAATATGTCATATGTTTACCTTATTTTTACCCTTATTTATAAAATACAAAATAAATGAACTAATTAATTAACCTATACATACATATACACACATCTTTATTTTAAAATTTTTCAAATATTTAAAAAATATTAAAAGTATTAAATATATGAAGAAAAATCAATATACAAAGTTCATGTTATGTTGTTTGTACTTATGCATCCTTATGCATATTTATGAATTAATAAAAACTATGTTTAAAAAACCTTGACTGCACAAGTTATATAAGTCCTAGCATGTATGACTGATTCATTATTCGTCGACTAACTTTCAAGGAATAAAATGTTCTACTCAGTTTGTATATTCAGTGTTGTAGTGTTTGGATTTAGTGCAGCAGAAGAATTCCCACTTCGTATGTCTTTGTTTGTTTAAAAAATTATTTGCATTTCAATAATATGTACATAATAATATTTTTCATTCTGGTACACAAAAATAAAAATAAGTTTTCTATTTTTTAAGCAATATGTACAACTAATAAATACAAAAATTTGACAAATGTATTGTTTTTAGATTATAGCTAATGCATTATTATTTATAAAAATCAACTCTTTTATATTTTCTATTATTACCATTTTATTCTATTTTTATTTTTATTTAGCACCTCTAACCATCTGTGAACAGAATTCAACTAATTACTTCAATTGCTTAAAACTTGCGATACAGGAAGCATGGCCACAATTTGTTAAAGGTATTCTTTATTTCAGAAAAATTAATTATGATAGTAATTAAACTTTCATAAATTTTTATAAACAGATCAAATTATGTATCTAAACCAAGTAAAAGATTTTAAGTTTACTTAAATGTTAAACTATTTTAAAATATTAATTCTCATTGCTCTTTTGTTCTGACAGGACTTCCAGAATTCGATTTTCCACCTCTGGATCCGATAACTTATGAATTCGGTGAAGCTACGTTTGATGTAGGTATGGTACATGGAGACATAAAAATATCAAACTTCACTAGTAAGGGTTTAGCAAAAACTCGTTTCATTGGTGTGAGAACGCATTTTCTTAATAACAATTTCCGTTTGGAAATTGACGTACAAATACCAAAAATAGCTGGAACTGGTAAATGTGACGCAGTAGGTACTATAGGAGGAATAAGAATGGGTGGCAAAGGTGAAACAAAACACTCTATGCGTTTCTTTAATCAAAAAACATTATAATGTCATATTTATATTGTCATTATAATTTATGCGACAGGGCACTTCAACATAACTATGGAAGATCTCCAAGGAGCGTGGATTTTACAAGGCCAGGTCGCAAATGATAGATGGACTGTGGAACATGTTCATGTAACTCCTTCAGTCAAAAAAATGCAGCTGTATTTTGACGATTTCTTTGACGGCAATAAAGAGCTCAGTAAGTACACTGATTCAAATATATTTTACACATTTCAAAAATTAACAGTTCGTGACTTTACAAGGTAATTGTCTATTAATTTTTATATATATTTTGTATGGAAAATACAAAGCAGTTTTATTCAACTTTTGTCTTGATTTTCTGGAAGTTTTTTCTGGAAAGTACTTTATTACATATATATTTTCATTTATAGATGATCTTGCCATGATGTTTGCAAACGAATACTGGCCGCCAATATATCGTGCAATGTTGCCAATAACATCCGAAGCATGGGATCCATGGTTGTGTGATTTGGTCAATCGCTTCTTTTCGAAAGTTTCTTTTACGAAAATATTTCCATAATTCCATATTTATATATTTTTTAAAAATATTTATTAATAAAAAAATTAATTTAGACTTTGCAAAAAATTGAGTACACATTTAATCATGCAAATGCAAAAATTAGATCAAATAAGAAAAATGAGATTTTATTTAGATTTTAGATTAGATTTCATGAGTTGCAAGTTGTATTTATGTAAGTAATCGGCTATTTATAAGTCGCGCATGTATTTCTTGTACGATTAAAAGAATCTATAATAATATTTGCTTAATAAACATGTAACAAGAACTCATACATATATAAGATTACAGTTCAAGTACACATTTTAATATATAATATAAAGTTACAGTTCAAGTACACATTTCGAATAATGTGCATATTTTTCAGAATAAAACGTTATAACAATCAGCTTCTTTGGTCTGCTTTTTTATTCTTCTATACGTTCTATTGACATTCTTATTAATGTTATTTTTATTTACCAATATATTCAGCAATATTTATGATTCTGTTTACAGTGTCATACCCTGTTTTCAATCAGATTTACAGATTAACAAAAAATATTCTTCTTAATATCTATTTGAATATGAAAAAAATAATACAGACAGTAAAAATTAATATTTTTCATGATATACTAACGAAACATATTATTTTTATGGAAAATCTTAAAACTTCTTTTATGCTAATGAATATATATTAAATCATATTTTCGATTTCGTTTGCAGCTATTTGGCAGACTTATTTTTTTTCTTCTTTTTATTTTTCAAAACAAATGGTTATAATGTTTAAGCTATAATGATTAGGATTTTCAGAAAATTGGTACAATAATATATTCTTTAATGAAATTAAAATCATGAATTTAATTGATTGACGTCATCCTACGTAAGGTAAATATATCTTTCATCGGCTTGTTAAGATTTCCATATACATAAAACAATTATAATAAGATTTCTTAAAAACATATTTTTTGAATTATTATTTTTTTAAATGACATTCTCTTTTGTTGGTATAAAAAAGATTTTTATAATTACTGTAATTTTTATTTTAAAAAAATTTTGTCGTTGTCGCACTAAAGATATGAAATGTGCCTATTACCAATCAACATTTGTGCGTGTTATATCAAAATAAAAAGAACATAATCTATAAAAAGTTATAAGCTATTGTTTTATAAAGATAATATCAAATTATTATCTGTAATGATTTTAATAAGAAAGTTCCATTAAACTTAAAATTAACGTTCTTTTAGAAGTTTTACTATAATATACAGTCCGGCAACTCAGGGACCAACGCTCGTGAGCGGATAGAGTACATTAAACAGAACAGAAAAGTTTTTTACCATTTTGCAATTCTCGCAATAATTATTTAAGTATTAATTAAAAAAAAATTGCCGAATAAGCGCGCGGCTAAACCGTAGGATGTAACTGTAGGTGTGTCAGCGGCGAGTCGCACGGCAACGAAATGTTTGGCCGCGCGACGAGAGTCGCAGATGCGCGAACAGTAGCAAAGGCAGAAGCCTACAGTTACATCCTACAATTACATCCTACGGTCTAGCCGCGCGCTTATTCGGGAATTTTTTAATTAATACTTAAATAATTATTGCAAGAATTGCAAAATGGTAAAGAACTTTTCTGTTCTGTTTAATGTGCTCTATCCGCTCACGAGCGTTGGTCCGTGAGTTACCGGATACTTTGTATATTACAATACTGGCAAAATATAAAACTGAGATATATGATTAACTGAGAACATATTGTATGAAGTTGTTTGCAACCAAGTCAATTGTTTTGATGATTGTATTATTTACGGCAGTTATTCTTAGTAAATAGTAAGTCGATCAGTAATCGGAGAAGGTCGGTGAAAGGTACATTTCCTTATATATTTTCACGACAACCTTTTTAAAAAGACCTTGGACGACAGAAACTATAAAACCATGGCTTTTAATTGACTGAGTTATTTACGAATAAACTTTCAAATAAACAAGATGCTCTACGCAATTTGTGCATTCATCGTTGTAGTGTTTAGATTTAGTGCAGCAGAACAAGTGCCTTTTCGTGAGTGTTTAAAAATATTTTGCATTTTAAAAATATCACAACACTAATTTCCTTACTAATAAAAAAGAATAATAATAAGTCTTTTACTTTTCAAGCAATTATGTAAATAATAAATTAATATAAATACCTAGTAACTGTCTAATTTCTAAATTATATACAAAATACTCTTACATACTCTGTTCATTTGTTTTTATTTCTACTACTGTTATTCTGTTCTATTTCTACCTAGCACCTATCACCATCTGTAAACGGAATTCAGTTAATTCCAATGACTGTTTAAAAGCTGCGATAGAAGAAGCGTGGCCAAAATTTCTTAAAGGTATACTTCTTTCAGAACAATTAATTTAATTATATTATTTAGATGTTTTCCTAACAATTAAACTATGTATATAATCGCTGCAAAATGTGATTATCTTAAAATTTTGTTAAATTAATTTATTTGTTTGTTAAATGGATTATAACTATCGAAATAAAACTTTCATCAATATTATATAGTCACCATCAATTTTTATAAATTGATTAATTTACATATATCTGGACAGAGTAAAAGAATTTTAAAATATATATCATTAATTTTATTATTAATTTTAATACTTAATTACATATCAAGCCACTAATATTGATTTATTTATTATGATAGGTCTTCCAGAATTCGATTTCCCTCCCTTGGATCCATTAATTTATGAATATGGTAATGCAATATTAGATAGCGGCATAATATATGGAATGATAAACGCATCAAATTTCGTTATTAATGGCCTTGCAAAGACACGTTTTTTGGGTGCAGATCGTATTTTGTCAACGAAGTTTTTCGCTTGGAACTTGACATACAAATACCACAAATAGCAGCGTTTGGTGAAATTGATTCAGTAGGTACTCTAGGAGGGTTCAGAATGGGTGGCCACGGTAAAATAATACACTCTGTGCATTTTTTTTATCAATAAACATTATAATGTCATATTTATATTGCTATTATAATTTATGCGACAGGGTACGTCAACGTAACTTTGGAAGGTATCCAAGCAACATGGATCATAGAAGGCCACGTAACAAATGATACATGGACTGTAGAAGATTTTAATTCAACTCCTTCAGTTAAAAAAATGAAGCTACATTTTGAAGATATATTCGGCAAGGGCAATAAAGAGCTCAGTGAGTGCATTAATTAATCAAATATATTTCACATATATTAAAAATTAATAAACTCTTTGACTTTACGAAGTGAACGTTTATTAATTTTTGAATATATATTATTAAAAATAATAATTTTAAAAAGCCTGTTTTATTCAAATTCTATCTTGATTAGTTTTCTTCTGAAAATTACATTAATACATATAGATTTTTATTTGCAGATGCTCTTGTCATGACTTTTGTAAACGAATTTTGGCCGGTATTACTTCGAGTAACGACGCCGATAGGAGTCCAAACATTGAACCCGTGGTTGTGTAATTTGGTCAATAGATTCTTTTTAAAAGTTTCTTTTACGAAAATATTTCCATAATATTTTTATATACTTTTTAAGATATTCGTTAAAAAATAAATTTAGACTTTGCAAAAATTTAATATACATTCAATCATGCAAATGCAAAAATTAGGTCAAATAACAAAAATTTTATATTTCATAAATTGTAAGTTACATTTATAAGTAATGAACTATTTGTAAGTCGCATGTATACTTGCATTTCTCATACGATTAAAAGAATAATAATATTAGCTTAATAAACATTTAACAAGAATTCATACGTATATAAGTTCACACGTTCAAGTTCACACATTTTATTTCCAAATAATTTGCATATTTGCAGAAGAAAACGTTACAACCAGCTTTCCCATCTGTTTTTTTATTCTTTCTTACGCTCTACTGACATTCTTGTTAATATCATTTCTAAGAACTACGTTAATAACTCTATTTACAAATTACAATCAGGTTTATAGGTCAACAAAAAGTGTTAGCCTTAATATTTATTTGCGTACATTATAAAAAAACATAATACAGACAGTAAAAATTAATATTTTTCATGGTACACTAATGAAACATATTATTTTTATTTTAGAAAATCTTAAAACTTAAGATTCTTTTATGCTAATTAACATATATTTAATCATATTTTCGACTTCGTTTGCAGCTATTTGGCAGACCTATTTTTTCCTTCTTTTCATTTTTTAAAACAAATAGTTATAATATTTAAGCTATAATGATTAGGATTTTCAGAATATTGTTACAATAATATATTATTTAATGTTCATTAAAATCATGAATTATTTATTCAGTTGACGTCACCTATGTACATATATTTTTCAATGAATCGTATTGAAAGACCTTGAGGGAAACTATATAAAACCAACACTTCTAATTCACTATGCTGTTCACGGATAAACTTACAACAAACAAGATGCTCTACGCAATTTGTGCATTCATCGTTGTAGTGTTTGCATTTAGTGCAGCAGAACAAGTGCCTCTTCGTAAGTATTTGGAAACTTTGCATTTAAAAAATATCACAACACTATCCTATTAATAAAAAAAAACAATAAAATGTCTTTCATTCACCAAACAATTATACAATTAATAAATTAATATAAATACATAGCAAATGTATAATTTCTAAATTATATTCAAAATACTCTTACTCCACAGGTTTTTTTTATTTCTGTTACTGTTATTCTATTTTATTTCTATCTAGCGCCTATCACCATCTGTAAACGAAATTCAGATAATTACTCTGACTGTTTAAAAGCTGCGATAAAGGAAGCATGGCCACAATTCGTTAAAGGTATACTTCTTTAAAAACAATTAATTTGCTTATATTATTTACATGTTTTCCAAACAATTAAATTATGCTTATAAACGCTGTAAAATGTTATTTTAATATTTTGTTAAATTAACTTTTTTGATTGTTAAATTAATTATAACAGAAATAAAACTTTCATTAATATTATGTAATTATCATAAATTTTTATAAATTGATTAAATTAAGTCTAGACAGAATAAAAAAAATTGTAATATATATATATTTCACTAATTTTATATATTTTAATATATATATATACGCAATTACATATTAAAACACCGATACTAATATTGATATATTTATTACGACAGGGCTTCCAGAATTCGATTTTCCATCCTTGGATCCAATAACTTTTGAATTTGGTAATGCAGTATTCGATAACGGTCCAATACACGGAGTGGTAAACGTATCAAATTTCATTATTGAGGGTTTTGCAAAAACACGTTTTTTGGGTGTGAGATCGCATTTTGACGATAAAATTTTTCAATTGGATATTGACATACAAATACCACAAATAGCAGGTTCTGGTGAAGTTAACGCAGTAGGCATTCTAGGAGGATTCAGAATGGGTGGCAACGGTAAAACAATACACTTTGTGCATTTTTTTATCGAAAAATATTATAATATCATATTTCTATTGTTATTACAATTTATGCGATAGGGCTCGTCAACGTAACTTTGGAAGATCTCCATGGAACATGGATCATGAAAGGCCACGTAGCAAATGATACATGGACTGTAGAAGATTATTATGCAGCTCCTTCACCTAAAAACATGAAGGTGTATTTTGAAAATTTATTCAACGGCAATAAAGAGCTCAGTGAGTACATTAATTCAAATATATTTCTCAAATATTAAAAATTAATAATTCATGACTTTACAAAGAAAACTTCTATTAAATTTTGTATACATATTATGGAGAATACAAAGCTGTATTATTCAAATTCAGGCTTGATTAGTTTTTTTCTGGAAACTACATTATCACATATAAATTTTTATTTGCAGATGATCTTGCCATGGTTTTTGTAAATGAATATTGGCCGTTATTATATCGAATAATAATACCGATAGGAGCCGACACATGGAACCCGTGGTTGTGCGATTTGGTCAATCGTTTCTTTTCTAAAGTTTCTTTTAAGGAAATATTTCCATAATACTTAAATACTTTTATTCATTAAAAAATTAATTTGGACTTTGCGAAAAATTTAGTATGCATTCAATCATGCAAATGCAAAAATTAGATCAAATAACAAAAATTTTAGGTTCAAAAAATTGTAAGTTACATTTAAGTAATCGGTTATTTGTAAGTCGCGTGTAAAATTGTATGTCTCGCACAATTTTAATCATAAGAACAAAAATTATTACAATATATCTAAGTAATCTTCACTTTATCGCATTTTTAAAGATGTTTTCATATGTTAGTAAAAAAACACTAGTGTATTAAATATACAAAAAAAAATAAATACATAAAGTTTTTGTTATGTTAAATACTTTTGCCTTGTGCATATCTATGCATTAATAGAAATCTTGTTTAAAAACACCTTGACTGCAATAGCTATATAAGTCTAGCATATATCATTAATTTATTATTCGCCGACCAACTCTCAACAAGCAAGATGTTCTACTCAGTTTGTATATTCAGTGCTGTAGTGTTTGGATTTAGTGCAGCAGAAGAACTTCCACGTCGCAAGTCTTTGACAATTTTAAATATGTTTAAATAATTATTTGTATTTTAATAATATAAATATAATAATATTTATTATTCTAATAAACAAGAACAAAAATAAGCTTTCTTTCTTTAAGTAACATGTACATTTAATAAATATAAATATTTGAGAAATATTTTGTTCTGAAATCATAATCGAAGCATTTTTATTCAAAAAAAACCGACATTTTATACTTATTATTAATATTAAACACTGATTTTATTTTTGTTTAGTGCCATTTCCAACCGTGTGTAAACGGAATTCAACCAATTACTCCAATTGCTTAAAACTTGCGATAGAGGAAGCATGGCCGAAATTAATTAAAGGTATTCTTTGTTTAAAAAAATAACATTAATTTTACATATACAATTGCTATAAAATGTTGTGGGACATTTTTATAAAATTAATTAATTATTGTAGTAGTAAACTTTAATAAATTTTTGTAAATGCATCAAATTATATATCTAAACCAAGTAAAATATTTTAAGTTACTTAAATGTTATAAGCTATTTTAAAATATTAATTCTTATATTGCTCATTTATTCTAACAGGACTTCCAGAATTCGATTTTCCACCTTTGGATCCAATGACTTATGAATTCGGAAGTGCTGTGTTTGACATAAATGCAATACATGGAGAAGCAAATGTATCAAACTTTGTTTTTGAGGGTATGGCAAAAACTCGTTTTGTTGCTGTGAAAGTGAATTTTGTTGATGACAATTTCCAAGCAGTAGTTGATTTACAAGTACCAAAACTAGCTGGTGCTGGTGAATATGAGGCAGTAGGTACTCTAGCAGGGTTCAGAATAAATGGCAAAGGTAAAACAATAAACTCTACATACTTTACATAAGCAAAATAATTTTGATTGTGTATATGGCTTCAATACATTATCTGTACAATGTATTATATAATTTGACAAAAATCAATAAAATCCGTATAAAAATTTTTAATCAAAATCAAATTATCAGTCAATCAAAATAATTATGACAGCTGTATATATTTATTGCAATATATAGAAATGTATTGCAGCATTTCTTCAATTTTTTAAAATTTCTATTAATTTATTAAATAAAAAAAATGTCAAATATCAAAATAATTATTTGATCAAAAAGATAATGTAATATCTCTATTATTGTTATTACTTATGCGATAGGATACTTTAACCTGACTGCAGAAGATATCAGTGGACCACAGATCATAACAGGCTATGTAGCAAATGATAGGTTGATTATAGAACATGTCATTGTAGCTCCGTCAATTAAAAACTTAAAGGTCTACTTCGATTTATTTAATAGCAATAAAGAGATTAGTAAGTATTATATTCTCTTAAATATAATTCTATATTTTATTACTTTTTCTTATATGTACAGAATCATCTCACAACAGAATAAAAGCACCTATTTTATTTAATATTTTAATAGATATAAGCTTTATTTATTTTATAAATAATAATATGTCTCTATAGAACAATGATATATAAAAAAAGCAATAATTTACTATGATAAATTAAATGCCTTTTGAAATTACAGATTATTTAATTACAGATATAATATCATGCAATTAAATATTTATATATTTGATTAATTTTATAAATTGAATTGTAAACTAAATGTATTTTCTCTGTATTGTGTCTCAAATGCTCCTTTATATAATGTTTTAACTTATCATCCAAGAACTTCTTATCTAAGAGAATACATTGATCAAGGTCATCCGCTATAAATAAATCCGACTAGTTGACATTATACATTATTCAGAAAATACATTATATAATTCTGAGGATAATAATTCTGAACATAGCAATCTGAATTAGACATTAAATTTTATATTGCAATTTCAAATTAAAATACTGGATATAAAATGGCTTTTTTTATACATTAAAAGTTATTTATATTTTTTTATGTACGTCCTAAGATCTTTCCGAAATATATTGTTATATATCAATTTCTATTTGTAGATGATCTTATCTTGACATTCGTAAATGAATACTGGCCGTTCTTATATCGAGCTGTATTGCCAACAGCAACCAAAGTATGGGAGCCATGGTTGTGTGATTTGGCCAATCGCTTCTTTTCGAAAGTTTCTTTTACGAAATTATTCGCATAATACTTATATACCATTTAAGATATTCATTAAAAAATAAATTTAGAATTTGTAAAAAATTTAATATACATTCAAATACAAAAATAAGGTCACATAACAAAAATTTAGATTTCATAAATTGTAACCGTTACATTTAAGTAATTGGCTAATTATAAATCGCATGTATAATTCTATGTCTCGCACGGTTTTAATGATCAGACAATAAAAATGATACAAGATATTTAAGCAATCTTCATTTCATTGCAATTTTTACAAAAGTTTTTATATGTTAGTTACAAAATAAAGCTTAAAGCTATTTAACTTTATTTTTTAGATATTAAAAAATTTTTCTAATATTTAATAAATGTTAAAAGTATTAAATATATAAGAAAATAATAGGAAAATAAGAAAATAAAAATACAAAGTTTTTGTTATATTAAGTACTTTTGTTTCTTATGTATATATTTATGCATTAATAGAAATCTTGACTGCAGAAATTATATACTTCTGGTATATATAATTGATTGATTATTCGCCACTCTTATCTTAGCCACACCAATTCTTATCAAGATGTTCTACGCAGTTTATATATTTAGCATTGTAGTGTTTGGATTTAATGCAGCTAAAGAACTCCTACTTCGTATGTCTTTAAAAATTTTAAATATGTTCGAAAAATTATTTGCATTTTAATAATATAGATATAATAAAAAATATTTATTATTCTAGCAAACAAGAACGAAAATAAGTTTTTTTAAGCAATATGTACAATTAATAAATATAAATATTTGAGAAATATTTCATTTTTAAATTGTAGTCAATACATTTTTATTCAAAAAGAACTGACTTTTTATACTTATTACTGTTATTATACTCGGATTTTATTTTTGTTTAGCACCTGTAACCATCTGTAAACGGAATTCAATCAATTACTTCATTATATATTGTTTAAAACTCGCGACACCGGAAGTTTGGTCAAAAATTGTTAAAAGTTTATAATATTTAAATTTTTGTAAATTTTTATAAATAAATCAAATTATGGATTTTATATTGGATCATGAATTCAATTTAAAATAAAATTACTTGATATAAAATATCGTTTTTTATATGTTAAAAGTTATTTATATTTTTATTATATATCTTATTGTTAGGGTATTTCCGAAATATATTGTTATATATAAATTTCTACTGTGGTTAAGTGGTTTAAAAAATACTTTCAAAAATCGTATATTTTTAAAAGTATTTTTTTCAAAACTGTTCTCGTAAAATTGAAATTTATACTTTTATATTATAAATTTAAATTTATACATTTTTTATATATTTATTGGAAAACGTAACCAAACTCCAAAATTTAAAATAAATTAATTTACGAAATTTTAGCGTTTTATCACCGTAAGACAGACGATTGCAAGATTTCCTTAATCAAGATATTTGGGCTTCACTTAAAGATGCAAGCACCTTTTTCTGTCACCGTGATCTAGCATACACAACCCACTGTCGAATTTTTTCCCAGACCGTTTCGTATCTTACGCGCGGTGCTACTTTTCCTTACCCACATACGAGTTTGCTCACGTACTTCGGTAGTCCTATTACCCCGATTTCTTTGCTTTCCGGCACGATACATCATCGAAGTGGCTTTTCACCCCGTCCATCCCGTCCAACCCATCTTGGCACGTACGTGCTTCTTCTATGCCGCTACCACTCGTCTCGCCCTTGGCCATTATGAGAGTTCCACTTTCATTCGCTTTCTTCAGATGCAACCGTACATTTTTGATCCGCACGTACATACACACGCACATTGTGTATACGCAACATAAACAAATTATGAATTTATGTATTGAACACTTGTTGTAAAATTAATGTCCGTAAATTTTGAAGGCGCAACATTAAGTAAAAGATAAGATATGATGAGATTTTGATAATTATGAATTTTCCACTATACAAAAATAATTTAAATCATTATTATTCTTAATGTTAATTGAGCTCGTCATTAATTTATCTATTCTTTTGGGAAATAACCCAAAGATCAAAGATAGGTTTTAGAATTTTGATATTTTAATAGTGACATACAATTAATTCTTCTCTGCTCGTTATGCTTTTCAGTTCGCGTTAATCGCCATACTTCAATTCTACATGGAATTCTCAGCACACAATATCTTGTGGTAGATTCCCCGGAGATTGTGGTTCAGTTCACAGATGGAGCAGGGAGTTGCGGCTCTCTCCCTGTGGAACCACCATTACAGGAACAACGTAGTCCGACGTTATTAGTATGCATATTGGGTTTTTCTATTCGTTCGCCAATGGTCTCATGACTTTTTGATGCAACGGATTACAACCGCGCCCCTTGGTACAAACGTTGCATCGTTAATTTAATAATGTTCGACCTTCATAGTTTCAAAGCAAAACCGATTATAGATCCATCGCGTTGAAACTTCTAAATTGCACCTATCTATAGTGTAAGATTGGCGGAGTTTCGGCGACGACTGCGCGCATGTGTGTGTGTGTTGTTATGTGTGAAATAAGTATCGTAAGTACAAGTATTGCAAAACTTTTAATAATAATAATATTCATAAAAAAATTTTTTTTAATTTGTATATTTTGTATATCTACATTTTTAATAAAAATAAGTTAATCTACAAAATACTGTTAATACTGCAAAATTGCAAATAATTTTTAAAACAGTTTTCAAAATTTCAATGGTAGCATTATACATATAAGCGATGGATGGAACGTTCATTAAACTCAAACGCATCGCGTAATCGGGTAATAGAATCTTTTACCACATGAAGTGAGTTCCAAATATATCTACGGAGATTACAATCGATCGTATGTTAACAGCATAAACTGCGACGAAAACCAAAATTAACGATTATCCTGATGGCTGGAAAATTGGCTCGTCTGACGAAAAGTTACCGCGGCACATGAAAGGCTGGGAATGTTCGGCAGTAACCTTTGATCCGTGAACTATGCGGCTATGTCATACCGCTTCAGCGGTTACGCGGAAAGTAATTTAGTTAAACCATCCCATATGCGCAATAAAACGACTCTCCCGTGCATGTACAGTATGCGTCATATCACAAGGGGTGTAAGGTCCTAAAATTCTATAAACGTGCAACGGTGCGTAGGCAACAATTTATGCTCAACTATAGATAAACTCGCATGGAATTTTATCATATTTTACGGTTAGTCTATTTTACAGTGCATCTGTAATCTAAATTAAATTGTACGACTGGACCATGTTCGCGCGCAATTATTTAAAAAGAATTAAAAGAAATACTTAATATTGACGAAGCATACAGTTTTCTTGCAATATACTTTATAAGCTGCTAGACAATAACCATTAAACGTTAAAAACTAATTAATTTACAATATTATAAATAGTTTTTGCATTATAAATAATTTTAAAAAATATAAAAACTTTTTACAGTTCTTTATATATGTTAAATATATTATATTAAAATTTATCGACATAGAAAGTTAAATATTTTTGCAAAACTTGATTATAAAGTTACTACAGAAACTACATGTTTTATTAGTAGTATTATACTTTTATTTAAAGTAATATATGGAATTATACATTAATCTTGACATTAAACAAATTTTTTAATAAAATTGTCTTTTATATGTCTGACATGCTGTGAGTATTAAAGTTTCATAAGTGTATAATTCATTGTATATAACATTGACAGGTTTCAAGTTCCCGATACACGCGAAATTTATGCGCGCATTTGTTGGACACTTTGAAAACACGCGTTGGAATCGAACGATACTAAAGCGAAGGGTGCTGTTATGTGACACGCTGCAGGAAAATTGGTCGTAGTCTCTTCCGCCCTTTCCCTTGTATAAAAGTTTCTTTATGCAAATATTGCGGGTCGCCTCAAGATTGACGACAACTTATAGCGCTTCAACGAAACTTCACGCTGTTCTTGCTGAAGGGACAAAGGCGCACGATATCATGAAGGCTGGTATTTCACCACCACATGGAACTTGAGCTATTTGAGTTATTTATCCTAAAGATTACAAAGTATGTTCAAGCGCGCAACGCATTTTACTTATCAATCAATATGACAAAATAAAATTTAAAGCATAACATAGTTTTATACATCTTTAAAGTCAAAAACTCTTTTAAAACTGAAAACGTATTTGAACTGCAAACAAAAGAAATTATTTGACATCTTGCTGTGCAATTGTATCACTAATTTTTATACGTCTGCCAGCTAGTCTCCCACTCTGTACAAATTCAATAAAAAAGTTATATAATTATGCACTAATTATGCGCTCACTAAATTTATAAAGAAAAAATTTTGCGCTCTTTTAGTTTAGCAAAAAAAAAATTTTTTTTGTAGAGGGGCTCGACAGCCAGTGATTCCCCCCACTCATCAATAATAATAACTGTCATAATTAGTGCATAATAATATAATTTTTGAATTGTATTTGTACAAAGTGGGGAGCTAGCTAGACAGACGTAATTTTTATTTACTTCAATTACTTTGTGCATTTCATAGCAGTATATGTATATCATCACTGTTTTACGAGTTCGCGCGTGTATTTTCTCAAATTTTCTTCCGACCACTTGGACGGTATTACATATAAGCGAAATGCAGCTATCGCTTGCGCTTAAGTGCGCAATTGTAGCTTTTCGATTTCATTTACGGCGAAATGCCTTAGTGGATAAGGCGGGTGGTGGCAACAGTAGGTATGGCAATTTCTGTCTCTGTCCTCTCCACCCCACCCTGGCAAACGTAAAGAAGTGTTAGCCCCGCAACCAATGTTGTTCACGGTCCAATACATCTTATCGACTTTACTTCGTATCCCATCTACGTGGGAAAACTCTCATTCTTTCCCTTTACCGCGCCCCGCCGTCGCCCGTGCCCCCTTCCGCTTTACCGTCCTTTCCTTCTTCCTCCTTCTCGAGATTATTTTTGTCTACGGCTTTAAATCTTCTCTCGGTACTTTCAAATAAAGTTTACGGTAGCGCCGGAGTTAGATTTATATCGAGAAAAAGGAAGAAACGCGGGGAGAAGGAGTTTGTGTCCGCGCGCATTCGCACGGTTATGCGGTCGCGCATAACCGTGTTGCGGAATTCTGCGTCTTTGAACTGCAGCTGCATCCTGCAGCCTAATGCCCAAAGTCCGCTTATCCCGTGGAACCTCGCTTTACGCGATATTAGCCACGACACCGCATTTACACTTGTTCCCAGGTTGCGAATCTTCGCAAAGTTGCGCCAGCACGGCTGCCGTTGGC